TAAATTTCAGTATTACAAGAATCTTAAACAATTCCTTAAAAATTCAGGCCTGGTGATCTGAATCTTCATAATTGACACAAATATAATACAAATCTAATACATAATACAATATAGATATAATATTATATGCAATGCAATATGTAATTAACATACAAATACAATACCAAAACCAATACATAAAATATGATTTAGGACATATTTGATGAGCATTTCTCCAAGTCATAGGAAGTGATAGAAAGTTGGATATCGTAATATTGATTTCTTCCCCAGCAGATAAATTTTAGTAACAGGGTTTGTATAGCTCAGCAACCAGTTTGAACTCATTCTGTACCAATGTTCCCAGAGGCAGGAAATCAAAGCACTATAGTGAATTTCAGCTATCATGGAGATAGCAATCAAATTAATGTTTTGAAATAACTGGAAAGGTATATTTATCTGCCACAATTTAATATCATTTAAAATACATGAATTAAAATTAACAATATTGTTAAATTTTAAATCCATATTTACTTTTGAAAGCAGATTAGGGCAAAGACATGTTTTCGAATTTAAAAAATCTATGAACGTATTTACAGCTTTGGAATCCTTTTCAGCCTGGGAGACATTGAATCATTATTTATTCTCTAAACTTCATTTTCTCCAACTGTAAAATGGGGATGATACAAATTATAAAACTTATTATATCAAATGAATTAGTTGGGAACAAAGTCAAATCTTAAAATTTTGTGCCTATGCTAGATATAATTATTTAAAGATGTGGAATGTATTCAAATAATTTCTATATATGTGATATATCAGGGAAGAAATTTAAGTCGAACTGCCAAAATGGCAAGTCTGGTAAGAATAGATGCTTGGCTGTCCATATGGGTAGAATAAAAGAACAGAGAATCAATGGTACAGGTTTTCATCCCATAAAGTTTTATTTTATAGATAGCATGTTTATAGATAGGATAATTAATTTGATGTCTTTAATCTCATTTACATAAAGGGGCAGAATTGAGTTTGGAGATTTGTCTTGCTATAGTCTCAAAAGTAGATAAAAATTGGGACAAAGAAATTGACCATTGGAACAACAGAAATGAGTGGGTTAAGGCACTGTAAATGAGAAAAATGAAATAGCATTGAAAGTTGGGTATGATCAAAAAGTTGAGAACTGCAGAGAATCAGAAATAACTCCTTGGATGCTTACAGGGAAACTAAACAAAATGATGGATGCCATTGCCATTGGAAAGCAGAGAATGGAGAAAAGGTAAATGGTTTGCTCTTTTGGATATTTAACTCCAGCTGGTGTCAGAAACGTAGTGAGAAGTAGCTAAGAAGCAAAAACAATACAAAGAGCGGCAAAGAGGGTCAGAGGAGTTAGGAAGCAAATACTTTACAGGTGGAAGAAATGGGACTCTACTGTTGAGCCGGCGGAATAGGGGAACGTCAGCAAAATGGTACTGGGGTCTCCATCTTATTGGACCCACCCCTGGAACTTTCCCGCCCAACCTGAAGGTCACTTTCCAAGAGATCTCCTGCCATCAGAGCAACGGCTCAGGGCCACGTCACATCGGGGAAAACAGAACCTATGCAGGAAAC